TCGGATCTGATCCTTTTCTGCCTCTTTATGTGGAATACTTCGATCTCAGTTTCAACAGCATTGAAGGGCCCATACCTATACCACAAGAAGGTAGTAGCACGTTAGATTACTCAAGCAACCAGTTCTCATCCATGCCTCTTCGTTACTCGACTTACCTTGGTGAAACTGTGACTTTCAAGGCGTCCAAAAACAAACTTTCTGGGAATGTTCCACCGTTGATCTGCACCACTGCTAGGAAACTGCAACTCATCGATCTATCTTATAATAACTTGAGTGGCTCAATCCCATCTTGTTTATTGGAGAGTTTCAGCGAACTACAAGTATTAAGTCTGAAAGCAAATAAATTTGTTGGAAAATTACCTGATATTATCAAGGAAGGTTGTGCACTTGAGGCATTGGACTTAAGTGACAATTCGATTGAAGGGAAGATACCCCGATCTCTAGTTTCCTGCAGAAACTTGGAGATCCTCGACATTGGAAGCAATCAGATCAGTGACTCTTTCCCATGTTGGCTTAGTCAACTTCCTAAACTTCAGGTCCTTGTCCTCAAATCTAATAAGTTGACTGGTCAAGTAATGGACCCTTCATACACAGGACGTCAAATCAGCTGTGAATTTCCAGCACTCAGAATTGCTGATATGGCATCAAATAACTTAAATGGAATGCTGATGGAAGGATGGTTTAAGATGCTCAAGTCCATGATGGCCAGGTCTGATAATGACACGTTAGTCATGGAAAATCAATATTACCATGGGCAGACATACCAGTTTACCGCTACAGTTACATACAAAGGGAATGACAGGACAATTTCCAAGATCTTGAGAAGCCTTGTGCTAATCGATGTCTCCGGTAACGCATTCCATGGTGCCATCCCAGATACCATTGGTGAACTTGTTCTGCTTCGTGGGCTTAACCTGTCACACAATGCCCTTACAGGGCCAATTCCATCACAGTTTTGCAGGTTAGATCAACTTGAGTCATTGGACCTCTCTTTCAATGAGCTTTCTGGAGAGATCCCCAAGGAACTAGCATCACTGAATTTTCTTTCGACGTTGAACTTGTCGAACAACACGTTGGTTGGAAGAATACCAGACTCATATCAGTTTTCCACATTTTCCAATAGCTCTTTTTTGGGAAACACAGGTTTGTGTGGACTACCGTTATCTAGACAATGTGACAACCCTGAAGAGCCAAGCGCTATACCATACACTTCAGAGAAATCCATAGATGCTGTACTTCTCCTCTTCACTGCATTGGGATTTGGCATTTCTTTTGCAATGACTATCTTGATTGTATGGGGAAGCCACATGAGAAAACGACACTGAGAGTACTTTGTGTATGTATACAACTCTAGCAGTATTGAGTGAGGCCAATATTCTTAACTGAAGCTATGAACGTTCTGATTTGAGCAATAATCCTGGGACTGTTGTAACATGAATTCCTATTTGACAGGTAGCTAGTGCATTTGGTTCTTGTAATTATGTGTTGGACTAGTCATTTTCATAGCTGATATATGGACGAATTGTTTTATTTTATATAAATTTCTCTCAGTATATCATGGAAGACATGGTAGAAAGAAACCCAACCAGAAACGTGAAGTGCCACTCATCCCAATTATATGGTGTGGTTCTGCGGGTGATGACAAACATATAACAATATCCACGCTGTGATGTGCAGTTTGAGTTTTTACCGAGTTGTGCAGTCCCTTTTGGCCAAAATCTGTATGACCATAACAGACAAGATCAGAATAACAATAAACTGTCATGAAAAAGCCAATTAAATTTCACGATAATCAGAATGTACCCTTCAAGAAAAAGATGATTGTCATCATCACAGCATGGCACCGACGTAAACAGTAACTTGACCAAACTCTGAAGGCTCTCCTGGGCAAAACGTCGAACAGGGTGCCTGCACGGTAAGGCTTGTCAAAATTGGGTAGGCGGATGCTACAACCCGGCGTCCTGAGCACAAATCGATCGGCCGCACCACACCACTCACATACCTCTAGCCTTTAGGCGGAAGATGATTGCTGAGTTCAGGTGATATCAGATCGCCGCCCGCAAATCTCATTCGCTTCCTGTGGCAAGCAGCAAATGCAGGAGCTAATCTCCCATCTGTCACGCGGGAGAGACCTCCCACTCGTTCTCCCCTCACCTGCCGCGCCTTCGTGGAGACGACGAGTCCCTCTCGGCGCCCTTCTCCCGCGTCCGTGGTCCGCCGCCGCTCGGAGGGTTCGGGCTCGGTACGAAAGTTGTTTTCTACTCCATTCGTGTAGCTCGCGTGGGGAGTGGAGTGTGTTCTTTTTTTTTTTAACGGAAAACAGCGCTAGTGTGCTTTTTCATTGAATAGAGCTTGAGAAAATACAACCCCTAATGATAAAAAAAAAAGTCACGGTAAGCTACACACGAACGCGGAATAAACTGCAAGGGCCTAGAGACTAGCCTCCTCTTTGATCTTCGTTAAAAGGAAACTCATTGCCATCTCTTTGTGGTCGAAAATCTGTCGGTTTCTCTCCTTCCAGATCTCCCAGACAACTAGCAGGATCAGAGATCGAAGTCCTTTTTCTGGGACAGCGGACGTGTTTGCTAGGTTCTCCCACCACTATTGCACTTACTGGGCCTTCCCATTGACCTGGTTCCATCTATTGGTAGCCCACCCAGCTAGACACAAGGTGCCAGATTCTCTTGGTGTATCTACACGTGGTGATAAGGTGCAAGGCCGTCTCACCTTCTCGCCAGCTAGCATAGGGGGCATTGGCCGTTGTTTTGCCAACCCCTGGTCTGGATTTTGTTCTAGAATGCTGAGTTCGGCACCCAGACCTAGAGTTGGGAACTTCTCACGAGCACGCTTTTTAAACTGCTAAACGGTATTTTTTTTAAAAAAATTATATACGAAAGTTGTTTTAAAAAATCATATTGATCCATTTTCTAAAAAGAAATTAGCTAATACTTTCACGCGCTAATATATCGCTCCGTTTTTTTTCGAGAGTGATTCTTCTTTAGAAACCATGTGTTAACTTAAGAAATTCGGCTACAGCGCAAGTGTGAATCGAAATGACAAAATAGCACAGAAGGCAACATTTGTGTCTTCCGTTAGACTTGAGTTGGGCCCACATATTGGTAAATGATACCGTGAAATCAACAGATTTGTTTTGTTTCCTTGTGGTTAAAAAGGGTCTATTTCTACAGACCTATAGTGTTTCCTATATGCGTACTATAGATATCTTCTGTGCTTTTAAAACTCTCACTGATAAATACTGAGAACTAGTAGAACCTCTGGTTTCTTTCAATAAATAAACAGTCCGCAATGGGAGGAGGTGGATCAATAATGTGTTCAGATTTTGATTAGTTCCAGAAGTACTATGCTGAATTGATCTGTTGATTTTTCACATGTTGATTACTGATCAGTTGGTAAACTCTGAATTTATGTGCCAAACATGCATGCCATTTAACTTGCACAACAATAGAGACCACAAACAAAGAACAAAGTGATATAATATAATGTAGACCACGAACTTCTCTGAATATTCTCAACCTAGCATTACATGTAGGACAGTTGTCTTCCATTAACCATGATATGTAATTCTTGCTGAACGGAGCTGCTATGCTGCTCTTGGAGAAGCATCGCCGGCTCCTGCTCCCAGCTTCACTGCCTTGAGCATCCGCCCAGTTTAGTGTTATCAAAGCAACAAATATATGTGGCTTGAGGAATACATCCCAACTGAAGCTCAATACATAAAGAACATAGTAAAAATGGTGTAAACCATATATATACATTATTTCTGCACACGGTCCATCACTTATTCTGCTTTTCCTAATGCCTGTTCAGTTTTAAGCAATTAAAAACTGATATGGCAAACCAGAACATGTCGTTCTTCAGTTGAACAGGGGCAGATAGCGGAGTTGGTGCTGCCCTCGACCTCCTTCAGATTTATTGACGCCTCTCGGAACCGGGTTGGTGACGCGTGGGGATGAACATCGCCTGAAAGCGGTCTCCGAAGTGGCCACCGCCGTCATAATCGGGCACACACCGGAGGAATGGATCAGAGGGCGCTAGCGGAGCTCTTGCCCGCGCGCGCACGGCGGCGAAACGGGGTGACAAATGATGGACAAGAAGTTGGGGAAAGAACCGCCTATGAGAGCGGCCGCCGGAGGCCGGAGCAGATTGCTGCGTGCGCTAGGATGCACCGTCGAGTAGGAGAGCGATACAACCTGATGATTAATGGATACTCTTCTTTACTCTTTTTCATTTACGAAGTAGTACTGATAAAATCATACTCCCTCCATTCCAAATTGATCTACATATTTCATAGGTATACCAAGACCAAGAAAAACTAATAACTCTCTCATACTATATTTACTCTAGCAACAAACTCGATGCATGCACTATCCCTAATATTTCCTAGCCAATAGCAAATCAAGATATTGCATGTGGGTTATAAATACTTGTGTGCATAGATGTATGCATCAATGTCCATTTACTCTAATGCATAAATAACGAGACTTAATGGATTAACACAAATATGTAGATCATTTAGGAATAACCTCAAAAAAACTATATGTAGATCAATTTGGAATGGAGGGAGTAAATACCAGCATTACCATGATGATTATTATTAAAGTACTTATATGTCCTTACGAACCAATGGTCTAAATTGATTCTACTGATAGTATAATACTACTAGTAGAGAGCTTCCTTTATTCATGGGCTTCCGATGGATTATGCTGGCTGGGCCGCTGGGGAATTTTCGAAATTTTAATGGAAACTATAGGACAAATACGGTTACCGACAAAACGGTCGGAAAAACCTCCATCCCATTTCCGCTACCATTTCCGAAAAATATTACCGTTTCCATTTCCGACACCGACAATTACTGACAACGACTGAAATGGTCGGTGCAAATCGGAAATGGCAGCCAAAGATCTTGGAAATTTCTATACCATTTTCACCCCTATTTTGAGGGATACACACTACACATAGAATTCAGATGGATTGCAGTAACATGCATATTCATTTACCCACTATATGAAGGTTCCACGACACCAGGATAGAAAATGATATTTCACTGTCAATCAAACACCTCTATTTCTTCCATAAAACAAAAATAAAGCACCAAAATTACCATAACTCTGACACTCTGTATACAAGTCAGTCAAACTCTACTTAAAAAACAATATACACGATTGTTTTCTTTCCAAGCTAGAGAATTGCAGAGGCAAAGATGCTTAATTTGATATAGTTTCAGGACCTTCTCTTTCTGATTGTTTCTGAGGTGATCAAGGGTCAATAACAAAAATAATCTTTTAGTCTATTGTCTATAGAAGTACTCTCACAAGATTACTTCAACATATTGCTAGAATTGTAATTCTAGAGCAGACACCAAATCTCAAGCAGTCAAGACAAAGAGGATCAAATATCTATGGCTCGATTTCAAAGGTGGCAAAAACATTTCTCGAGGTGCTAATTTTCAAAGGATTTCCCCAGAAAGCTCATTTGACGAGAGGTCTAACAATTCAAGTTGTTTCAAGTTAGCAAACTGAACTGGGATTGGACCCGTAAGAGCATTATGAGACATGTTGAGAGCACGAAGCAACACAAGTTCCCCAATGCTTCTAGGGATTCTACCATGGAAAGCGTTATTTGAGACATCAATGAGTACAAGTGTTCTTAAGGTCTTGGAAATCGTCAGGCCACTACCTTTGTATGAGATTCCAGCAGTGAACTGGTATGACTGCATCTTGCCACGGTAATACAGATGTTGTTCTCTCATTAACATATCATTATCACACGTGTCCATTATCATTGATTTGAGCATCTTGAACCACTCTTCTGGCAATGTGCCACTGAGGTTGTTCGATGACATATCAGCAAACTGCAGTTTCGTAAATTGACAGTTGTTTCCACCTCCAGTATAAGAAGGATCCAATATCTGCCCAATGAACTTGTTAGACTTGAGGACCAGGACTTGAAGTTGAGGAAGTTTACTCATCCAACATGGGAAAGAGTCACTAATTTTATTGTTTCCAATGTCAAGGATCTCCAGATTCCTGCAAGCGACCAAAGATCTTGGTAGTTGTCCTTGAATCGAATTGCCGCTGAAATCTAATGCGCTTAATGCACAACCTTCCTTGATATTATCAGGTAACTCGCCGGTAAGATGATTATCCTTTAGACTTAGCACCTGCAGTGCATCTGCATCCTCCATCAGACACGATGGTATTAAGCCAGTCAAATTGTTGTTAGAGAGATCAATGAGTTGTAAACTCTTAATCCTATCACAGATGGATGGTGGAATGTTTCCAGATATGCTATTATTGGAGGCCTTGAAAAGGACAGTATTTGATAGGTAAGTAGAGAAATTGAGAGGCAGAGATGAGAACCGGTTGTTGGAGTAATCAAGGGTGACACTTCCTTCTTTTGGTATAGGTATTACCCCTTCAATATTGTTGAAACTGAGATCGAAGAATTCAATGTAAACAGGAAGCAAAGGGTGATCAGATCCAATACTCGTAAACTTATTATGTGATAGGTTGAACAAGGCAAAGCCTAGGTTCAAGGTCTTCCATGCCCACAGAGGTATTGCTCCTTGGATTTGATTATACGAAAGATCAAGAAAAGTAATCTCATGGAGATGCTGCAAGATGTTAGGGAAGCTAGATATACTGCAAGATGCTAGTCGTAACAAGACAATACTAGGGTAGGACACTACTGAAGAACTATTTTCACCATCCATCACAACTAGTCTATTATTTGAGAGATTCAGGGCAGAGAGATTTTGCATTTTGGAGTACGATGATAGCTCCACTGTGCCAACTAAATTGTTTGAATGGAGCAGGAGGTATTGCAAATGAGTCAAATTTAAGATCTGTGGAGCTATCACTCCTGAAAAGTGGCAATTGTACAGTGCCAATTTTGTCAGTTTTTTTAAGTTCCCTATGGAAGCTGGTATTCACTACTACAGATCCGGGCTTCAGTGACGGGTCATCTGTGACGGGCCAACGCAACTCGTCAAAGATGAGTCATCTCTGACGGGCCGAAAAAATATCCTCTTCAATATATGGCTACCAGGGAGGACCCGTCACAGATGTGAAGTCATCTGTGACGGCTTGCACTTGTAACCCGTCACAGATCGTCTGTGACGGGTCACAACCATGGCTCGTCACACATGACATGTCATCTGTGACGGGTGTAGTATTATGAACCATTACAAAAGAGACCACTCATCTCTGACGGGTCTTTAACTAACACACGTCACAGATAACGTTATCTCTGACGGGTGGTAGTTATGACCCGTCAGTGATGAGTGAAAATTCAAATTTTTAAATTTTGCAAAAAAACCTCGGATTGAAACATGTCCTATATAAAAGTTGTAGCTCTCAATGATATCCACAACTTTATAACTAACAACATTTCTATTAGAGATCGTTTACATCCCCGAACATGCATTACAAGTGATCAGATCTACTTTTAAAAACAAAATTTTGAGTTTTTTTTCAAATGACATGGATGGATACATGCCCCGTATCAAAGTCATAGAACTCAATCAGATCTACAACATTATAATTGAAAATATTTTCATTTCACAAAATTTACATGTTATAAAGTGAGATATATTTTGAAAAATGAAATTTTGAATTCTTCAAACAACATCGGATGAAGATATTTTCTATGTAAAAGTTATAAAACACGATGAGATCTATAACTATTTAGTTGATAATATTTTCATTTGAAGTCATTTACGGTGTTAAATATATGTTAAATGATTCAGACAAGCAATAACAAAATAATAACATTGGGTTAGTAGTCAATATGTGTTGAGTAGGTGAGTTGGTAAGGGAGCTCTATATGGAGGTTGAGGTCTTGAGTTCGAATCTCACTTGTAGCATCCAAGTTATATTGCGTGAAAAATTGTGAATATGGAGGTTGAGGTCTTGAGTTCGAATCTCACTTGTAGCATCCAAGTTATATTGCGTGAAAAATTGTGAATTTGTAGGTAGTGATGTGTAACCATGTATAGGATGGCTAGTAAAATTCAAAATATTTTTTTGAGGTTTTTTGTTGCGTTTAAAATTCAAAAATTGTATTTCTTGCTTTGTCATCAGTGACGGGTCGTAAGTTACAACCCGTCAGAGATGAGTCCTCAGTGACGGTCAGGTAGTTACGACACGTCACTGATGACTCATCTGTGACGGGTGACAAGTTTTAACCCGTCAGAGATGACTTATATACCGGTCAGAGATGGGTTATCTGTGACGGGTGTTTCATCCGTCACAGATGATTTTGTCATCAGTGACCACTAATCACTGACCAAGACCAAACCCGTCAAAGGTGAGGGTTTGGGCCCGTCAGAGATGACCTGGTCCGGCGTAGTGATTGGTCCGGACAAGCCACAACTGAAGAACTTGAGAACAGTAAGAGAAGTCAGGTTTGAGATCCATGATGGTATGGATCCTACTAGCTCTAACCCAGACACCTCTAATAAAGACAAGGATTTCAGCTGACCAATGGAGGAGGGCAGCACTCCAGAGAAACCACTAGCTCCAAGAGCCAACTCCTTGAGAGATCTAAGGTTGCTGATAGAACCTGGAATTGTCCCTGAGAAGTTGGTGTTGCTGACAGATAAACTCTGTAAGCTACTGTCACCTGAGAAACTAGTAGGCAAATTTCCGGAGATTCCTAGATTTTTGGTGAGGTTAATAGTTGTAAGTTTCTCATGCTGGAAGATGATGGGAGGGAACACCCCTTCAAACATGTTATTTGAAAGCTGAAGAACACTAAGGCTGGGGAGTGCAGCCAAGAACTCAGGAACTGGACCAGACAAATGATTGTAGTGCAGCTCTATCACTGAAAGTGATCGCAAGGCCGAGAGCGAGTGGCAAATGGGACCGGAGAGTGAGCAGTACGGCATGCTAATGACCCTCAACTTTGGCGATGACCTGGCCATGGCGTCGCACCACCGTGCAGTGCCGTAGTTGCTCGACATGTTCACCATCACCATGCCCAGGCGAAGCTCCTCCAGGTTGGTGAGGTTTGCGAGCAAGGTCTCCAAGCTCGGCTCCGAGAGCTGTGCCATTGTGTCCGAGTAGTAGTACGTGATGCTGTACTCGTCGTCCAACTCCTCTACAAAAAATGTCGTCGACAGGTCAAGATAGTTCAGGCTGGTGAGGCGGCCGATGCCGGCAGGTACCAGACCAGCGAAGTTTGTGTTGGAGAGGTCAAGATGGGTGAGTCCGGTGAGCATCTCGAACCCTGTGGCTGGGAGCTTGGACTTGCTGAAGTCGTTGGAAGAGAGGTCAAGGTATTCCAACGAGGTTAGGCTGAAGAGTGCGTCATCAAGACCTGAGGAGGCTTGCAAATCACGGTGACTCAGGTCGAGGGAGGTGACACGGCCGCCGGCGCCGCCGCACCGGACGCCGTCCCAGTGGCAGCAGTCTGCGCCGGCGACCCATGACCGGAAGGCGGCAGGGTAGTCGCCGATGGTGGCGTTGAAGGAGCGTTTCAGCTGGAGCAGCGCCGATGCCTGGTCTGGGAGGCACGCAGCCGGTGCTTCCGTGGAGCTTGCATGGTCAGCAAGGCCGTGGATGAGTAGCATGGCTAGCGGAGGCATCAGATGGTAAGCAGATCGCATGTTGAAGAACGGGCTGGGTTGGGTTTGTTTTCTACGTACTGATCTATGGCACACAAAATACAGGTACATCTACTTGCATTTTATACATGTACTCCATCTGTCCAGTTTAGAAAAGTCGTTGTTTTGATTATCCATTCTACTCAAACTTTTGGAACCTCACAATTTTCATAAAGACTTGAAATATGTAGGAAAATGATGTGTATATTTGTGTTGAAAATAATTTCTATAATATCGTAATTCTATCTAGCTAGCTGGTTTTAAAAATTAGTGGTGGCAGTTTATCCAGCCAACCGTCCATATGTCGTATTAATTTGATTGAAAACTCTTTTCAAAAATAAAGAAAAGAAAGATTGAAAACATAGGTCCATATGACACGGCCCATTTCAGTCGATAAGTTTTGAACAAACGGTTTCGTAGTCAGCGGTTGACTGAGGCTTTAGTTTTTTTTTAAAAAAAATGGTGATAAATCCGATGTCATTATACGTAGCCAAAGGGTATATTTAGATTCCAAGTCTCGTAACAATAAAAAAAACACTAATACCTTGTTCTGTTAATCTATAAGAAAGAGGGATTGAAGGGGATTTTTGAGAGGGAATAGTTCTGCACCACAATAGAGTGCATTAAATCACCCTCCAAATCCCTCTCTATTCTCTCGTGGGAGGGATTAAACGAAGAAGATTAGCTTTAATCTTTTCTTGCCTAACAAGCTCCACCGAATAAAAAACATGATGAGCCCTGACCTGAAAGGCACATAACTGAGGATGGGTAGCATGGCTAAGGCTTTGTTTTAAGATTAATTAAGTATTAGCCTAAAAAACTTGAAAAATAGTTTGATATGTTTTTTTAAAGCAACTTTTATATAGAAAGTTTTTATAAAAAAATATATCATTTAGCAGTTTGAAAAGCGTGAACGCAGAAAACAAGTAAAATGAGTTAGGAAAGAGGGGAAAAGAACATAGTCTATGACTAGCAGAGGCATGAGATGGTAAGCAACTCTCATTATGGAGGACAATATGTTGGAAGATGACTGGGTTTATTTTGTTCTCAACTCTATGGTACACATGAATAAATACATCTACTTATCTACTCGATCTATCTAGTTATTCCCAACATCCGTTTTAGTCAAACCTTTGAAACCTCATGATTTTTTTAAAGACTTGAAACGCGTTTGAAAATGATGTGTATATATTTGTGTTGAAAAATATATATTTTCTACGATATCATAATTCTATTGGATTTATAAATATAATCTATCTATCTATTTATCTATCTTTATACCTCTATACTATTGAGCACATTTTTTTTACTCTCACGTTAACCAGAAAAATCTGATGACTACTGATTAGATTACTCTTATTATGATGACCCTAGATTAAATATCTCACCTAACGGGTCAACTTTGAAGGCCCAATCAATTCATATACCAACTCAACCTCTATGAATAAGGGTCAGTCCTGAGATTTCGGTGGTCTAGGGTCGGTCCTGAGAAGTGATATCCATATAAAAAAAATCAAACATATTGGCCATTTGTAGGTGTGAAATCATTGATGATAAGTATCACTATCATCTGTATTTCTTGAAGTATCTATTTTACTCCTTAAATTTTAATTTATCCATTGCTCAATTAGCCCAATTACTCGTTCTTTTTTTAATGTATACTTTCTCGACCACATTATATCCATACGGGCAAATTAGTGAAAGGGAACATTTTAAAGTTGAACTCATAGCTTAAGGCTATAGAAGTACTGTATTAATTCAGAAAAATATAACCAACAATTATATTAAACTCACAAATCGACATAGTCTGTACTATTTAATTAATTTGTATCCCTAATTTATCAATTGACCCCTTGTAATTATGTAAAAAAAAGATAATCTCGAGCTAGATGACAGATTGAGATTGACAGAAAGCTTTGCGTACTTACCACCGCCACCGTCGACCTTGTCCCTGCCGCCGGCTGTTCCCTCGGTCGCAAGGGATGGGGTTCTAATTAATCGACGTTCCGATGGTCACCCTCGATCTTGATGGCCAGCCAATGGCGCAGCTTCCGCTTTAGGTCGCCGAGAACACCGCGCTACGTATATACACGCCTTCCTCGCCAGCTACTCCAGGACTCTGCCTCCAGTACTGCTCCTGCTACCCTCGCCTCCTACGCCTGCCGTTGCCACCATAGACTAGCGTCGAAGCGTAGCAAGAGGATTGCGGCCAAGCTTGCGCTCGCCGGCCCGAGTGACATGACCTTATGTGCGCAGCACAATTTGATGCGCAAGCTTGGGTTGGTGCCTGAGAAGGGTCATGTGTTGGCCGAGGCTGTTACGGCTTACAACGCCCTCTTCTCCCAGCCCCTCCCTCTGGATCACGCCATAGCCCTATCTTCACTCTTCCCCAGCTCCCTGCCTCCGACGCAGGCTGGAGTGTAGTGGGATCCCCAACCCCACCATGCATTGGGATAGGAGATTTTTCTTTTTTAGTAGCTTATCTTCTTTGTATTTGTTTTTTTTTTCTTTTTTCACTACTAGAGGACCCCTCTTCTATCCCAGTTCGCAACCTCCTTTACTTCCGGGTAACGAACCAGGAGAAAGAATCCAGGACTAAAGAAGCCAGTCTTTAGTCCTTGTTCAAATACCTGGGAGTAAAGATTCATCTTTAGTCCCGGTTGGTGTGGCAAAGCCACATCCTGGTTGGTCCCTTTTTTCCATTGTTTCTTTACTATTTGCTAGGGTTAATCCCTGTATTTCCTCCAAAATCAAGTGGGTTGCATATCCCAAATCAAACCCTAAATCCCCAAATCAAATTAACATCCCAAATCATTCACATCACAAATCCCAAATCCCAAATCCCAAATTATTCACACCACAAAGCCTAAGTTACTTATACAAACAAATTAAATACATCATAAATCCTTAAAAAAATTACACACAAATCAAATACACCACAGATTATACATCTCAGATCCATGCAATTAATCACAAATTATATATAAAAAAAGAAACTATACATCACAAATTATCAAAAAAGGAAAAAAAAGGGACGCCGCTTGGCCGCCTAGCATGCGTGCTGGCCACCGCTCGCCATGGCCCCGCCGGCCGCCGCCGCCTGCCACTGGCCGCCTGCCAGCGCACGGCCGCGCCGGCCGCTGGCCGCCGGATGGGAGGAGAGGAGGGGGAGGAGAGGGGAGAGGAGGAGGAGGAAGGGTAAGGAGGAGAGGGGAGTGGAGGAAGAGGGGATCGGATCTGAGAGGAGGAGAGGAGATGATCCGATCTTATCTAAATACTTTGTCTGGGACTTAACCGATCAGATATGGGAGTAAATACGGTTGAAGTTACCAACTGAGACTAAACATAAATCTAAATACCTACATTAGTCCCGGTTGGTACTACCAACCGGGAGTAAAGATCCTCAGTCCCTTGACATGCCTCTGACATGGGATGAACCGGGACTAAAAATGATCTTTAGTCCCGGTTGGAAACATCGACTGAGACTAAAGATCAGAATTTTTTTAATCGGGACTAAATTTAGCCCCGATTCTTTTTGGAACCGGGATTATTGTAGAAATCGCCCGACCCTCAAAAGATAACTTCTCCAGTAGTGTTTCCTTGACCCCTGGCAACAGCCTTATTACCATGTGCGTTGTGTAATCAAATTTTACTCTCATCTTCTAATATATTGACGTACAATCCTTTTTGCCGGGATCCCAGCAGGCAGCAGTGCCATGATTGGTGTTTATATCAGTGGCGAGATCGATTCAAGCATTCAGCCCAGCACAGCGGCCAGCAATTGATGCGGCACCGGCGACACCAAACGTGCTCATCCAGCACGTCGATCGTCGATATAAGTAAGCATGCGGGCATGCGGCTGATGTGCTGCGCGCATGGCGTCACCAACCAGCACGGCAGTCGTCAGATGAGATCGATACTCGCACGATTGCAAAATCATGGAGCTTAATTAGGAATGCCCCCTCACGTGTCTAGCGGCAGAAGATCGCTAAGTAGTCACACACCTAGGAATCGGGGGCCAGAGCGGTCGCCCCGCTCAGGGCCAGGCCTATGATAAGGTCCCATCTCGATTTTCCAGGATTGTTGCTACGAGGGGACACGAGCGTTAAGCTGCGGCCATGTCGTCGATGTTGAGGTGCATGTCGACCTCCTTCGAGTTTGCCTGTTGACCTTCGGCCAGTTTCTGGAGTCAAGCTTTGATTGGTACTTTTAATTTTCAATTAGCTGGTTCTTTACATGTTCGTCATCTAAAAAGAAATTAACTTACAGACTGTACACACAGAACCTCTAATACAAGTCGGCACTATAGACGCTGGAAATAGCTAGTAAAACCGACACCTATAGTGCCGTTCCCGCCCACGCCCACACCAGCCTACTTAAACCGTAAAAACTAGCACATTTCTCTTCAAATAGTTAGGTGCCTATTACCCTTGTCAGATAAAAGTGTCGGTTTCTATATAAAATCCGGGACCTTTTATTCCCCATCTCATCAAAGTAGTTGGCACGGGGCCCACCCTAAAACCAGCATCTTTGTGGTGAAAGAGATATGTGTTGGTTTTATTTATAGAACCGGCACCTTTCACCCTCCACCTCCTGAACTAGCCGTTGGGGGGCCCAACTTATAAACCGACACCTCTGTACTGTCAGAAATAGGTGCCAGTTTTATGTCTAGAACCGGCACCTATCAGTCGACCACATATATAGGTGCTATCCCACCCGCCCAGCTGATTGAGCAAGAAAAGAGCGGCGTCTCTCATTTTTGCCTGATCAGCTAGAGGAGGGGGGGGGTGGTTTTGCTCTATTTTTTTGTTTGGTTGAAGATTAATGTCTAGAAAGAAAATATTCATTATTTCTCACTCCGTTCCTCTCTCATTTGATGATTTGAATTATTGTGTGCTCCATATGCATGCAAAATTATGTGTTGTTTTTAGGGATAATTCTTCTTATCTTTTTGGTGTCCATTAATATCATTAGATCTATTCTCGGATGACATGCTAAATTTGAATTAATGTTTTCTATTCTCATTAGATC